TGTATATGTATATGTATATGTATATGTATATGTATATGTATATGTATATGTATATGTATATGTATATGTATATGTATATGTATATGTATATGTATATGTATATGTATATGTATATGTATATGTATATGTATATGTATATGTATATGTATATGTATATGTATATGTATATGTATATGTATATGTATATGTATATGTATATGTATATGTATATGTATATGTATATGTATATGTATATGTATATGTATATGTATATGTATATGTATATGTATATGTATATGTATATGTATATGTATATGTATATGTATATGTATATGTATATGTATATGTATATGTATATGTATATGTATATGTATATGTATATGTATATGTATATGTATATGTATATGTATATGTATATGTATATGTATATGTATATGTATATGTATATGTATATGTATATGTATATGTATATGTATATGTATATGTATATGTATATGTATATGTATATGTATATGTATATGTATATGTATATGTATATGTATATGTATATGTATATGTATATGTATATGTATATGTATATGTATATGTATATGTATATGTATATGTATATGTATATGTATATGTATATGTATATGTATATGTATATGTATATGTATATGTATATGTATATGTATATGTATATGTATATGTATATGTATATGTATATGTATATGTATATGTATATGTATATGTATATGTATATGTATATGTATATGTATATGTATATGTATATGTATATGTATATGTATATGTATATGTATATGTATATGTATATGTATATGTATATGTATATATATATACATATCTTCCACAACTTCAGGGATACACTCACACAGCTTGGAAGGCAGCTTGCTGGTAACCTCCATCAAAGATCGGCATGTACATTTTTAGACCACGCCCACACCCGCCGCCCTCAGGAACCTTACGCTTAATAATCTGAATTGTGCATCTTTTCCACAATTTTTAAGCTAGTCACCAGTTGGTAAAATTTCCTCAGTTGAACTCATCACGAGGGTGTCGACTTATAATAACATGATAGTAGTCCGCAAGGTACTGATGTTCGCTAAGATCTGTTCGCTGAACTTCGGACATGGTCTTCATATGGACATGTTCTTGGTGGGGACATGTTACGATTTGAGGTAAAGCCGGGCTAAGATGTAACGCGACCAATAGTCAGCTTGACTGGCGCCCGTAAATAGCTCAGTCGCTCACGGAGCATGTCGAATACCTGGCGACCTCCGATATTAATAAGCCTTACCTGATATTGCCGATCTCTGTGCTAGCGGAAATCATTTCTCCGCAACTCGTATGATTCAAATGGATCAACTAAATAAAAATAAACCGAACGAGGTCTATCCGGGAACTAAATTGGTCGCAGTTGACTGAAGCCAAATCTGTCGACAAGCCAGTCGAGCAGGATCCCTCTCCAAAAATTGATGCAACCGACGACAAGTTGGAATCGGGGTATACATCCGACGCGTCGATGCTGACACGGGGCCTAGTGGCTATGTATCGGGAGGTCAATGAGGATGAGGATAAGGGCAGCAATAAAACGACGGTGGATGTTTCGTCGTAAAGCAGCATATGCTGCCCTCATGCTCCGCCTTGGTGGAGGCGGAGTCGATTATTGCACTAATTCGCGAAAAAACATCTTAGTATTTTCCTGCTCAATAATTTTAACAATTGCGACATCGCCGCAGTAAGCCTGGAACTACAGCCATTTCCAATAAGGCTACGCTCGTCGTAGAGCCTTGGACCTCCACCAAACGAGGTCGTAAAATCTCTCGTTATAGTTATAGCTTGTGATGCCAATGCTTACCACTCCCAGTGGGGTAGCACGGATACATATTTGAGTCACTATTAGCAGTCATACTGAATAATAATTCTTTGATCTGTAACATGTGACATGATCCCACTTCTAATTGAGTTCCAAAATTGGTGTTTGGCACTTCAGCCCCGCATATGGTAAATTATGGCCCAAAAGACTTAATAATGGTGTCTGACTGATTTTATGTATTATTATTTAGTCCTTAGGTTAGTATTTAGTCCTTAGGTTCAGAACGCGCTCAAATATTAAAGCGACGACGATAATGTTTTTTGGCAATGTTTCTGCAGTCAAGAATTTCAATTAACATCAAAAGAAGCGCGGTCCAGGTCAACGCCCTATTTGCCGTTCACCTCATGTTGCCATTTGTTGCTTATTTTTACTAAACAGCTTAGACACGTTGAGAAAAGAATGCATACTTTTTTAGATTAACTTTATTAAGTAACAAATACGTATGTACTTAAAACTAACAATGTATCTTATTAATTATAATGTTAACTTTCTATTTCACATTTTGTATGCTAATGTAAAGTATACAACACTTACATACATTTATGTACATAAAGTATGTGTACGCATGATTTTCTTTCAAATGTAATTTTTAGTAGTATTAATTAGTGCATTGACATTTTGCAGCATAGTTATATAAAATAATAAATACATTGCTCTGATCACGAACAGATAGTTATGCCGTTATATCATATATGCCAACAGAATGAACTAAGTTTCAATAGTAAACCAAAAATATTGACACACACTTAAATTCTAACAACAAATCACTGTGTTAAGGAATATTTTATCAATGTCTAGTTTCCTTTTTCTCATTATTAAGGTAAGCCAACCAAAATATAAGTTCCTCAAAGTTCACTCGACTGACAGATAAACATAAAAAATAATCATTCAGATAATCGGTTAAGATAACCACCGCATTCACTGGTCACTAAGAAAACGTGTTCAAATGGTGTTACATATGTATTTGCTAACTGTCTATATTTTGAACCAGGTGTCTAATTTGAATATGTTCGCACAATGTCTTATAACTAAACGTCAAGTAACACAATAATAATTTTGCAATTGACCAACACCGTCCTCTTACTTAAAGTGTCATATTTTTTATTGTATTATCTATCATCCAAGGGGATTTCGGTGTATGTATAAGCTCACACTTATACTGTAACAAACTTTATCAATTATTCTTCGATGTCCTTTTCAAGCTTCTGTGCAGCCTTATTTGTATACAAATGTGTTTAAAAAATACAGCAGAAAATTCATCTGCGTGCCACACCTTATGTGCCCCTTCAGAATCTTTTCAAATCAAACAAATACTTCATTAAGTAACATCGCATTAAAAATATTTGAACTCGATAAAAAAAAATGGCGTCCTAAATTAAAAGTTGAAGGGGCACCGATCAGTCAGGACAAACTGCTTTATAGGAAAACAAAAATAAGAATAAAAACAAGCACGCAATTAAATTTGATTCACAAAAAAAAAAATGCTATTATTTTATTATTAAATTATATAACACTGGCTTCGACCGATTTTTGTGTTTTCTATAAGTAAAACAAATAAGTTTGGAATCGTATAACTTTACCACCACGTTATAATAAATTTGTTTTTTTTTTGGATTGGATGGAAGAAAACGAAAACGTCTGTTTTGCATGCGTTGATTTGATTCAAAAATCTTCAATAATATATGGAACTCTTTAAAAATGAGTTTAAGATTATTCACAAGAAAATTAGATATTCTCCTATGTGATATATGTATGTATACGACTCTTACAGTTATTATGCCACTTTCACTTGTTTTTAATACAGTTAATGCACAGTTACAAATTAGGATATAAAAAATATTTGTAAATTCCAGACTAATACTATAAGTACATATTGACATGCTATTAAAATAATTAAACAAAAGAATTCACGATACCACACACTCCACATTTTACATAGCTTCTACATTTATATTATTAATTTGATCTTTTCTGCGGAAAATGTTGTGTGTAGTGTTTCGAGGATTTGAGACGGTAGTGAAAGTTATTGGCAGTTATGGAATCTCGTAGTCTTCTTTTTGATTCTATAAAAACAACTAAGTAAGGTGTTTGAAGTTGCGCAGCTACGGACGGACATGCTTCGATCGACTCACTTTTAATGTATCTCGCCCGCTCTCCCTAGAATTTACTCAAAGATATAATGCGATTCTCCTCAAGCCCCAGTTAGCTTAAGTCAATTGTTATGGAAAAATACAAAAGCTTATAATTTTACTACGCTTCTGCATATTCCCAAATTTAATAGAGCATTTAGCTTGTACTCTGTTACAGAAGGTATTCATAATTGTTGTGTTATGTCCACTAGGAGTTAAGAAATCGTGATAATCGAAAATCCCAGATATCTCCCTCAATTTTAAGAATTTGATTAACGTCTTGTCGTGAAGTTTTTATTTCTAATTTTTATTAGAACTCTAAAATATTTTTCAAAAGTATAAAAAAAACCATATGTTTAATATCAGTTTATTTCGTTAACTTAGAAAGGTTTTCCTGGAAACCACAATAGCTTTCGTTTTCTAAATTCAAACTTATGTCAATGATGCGATTTATTATTTAGGTTTCAAATTTAAGCAAAACAATAATTGGTTACAATTTAAACAGTCTGTCCCTTCTAAAATTCGATGCCAATTTTACCGCTGACAAAATTGCTTTTTAGTAAAAATTTGAAAAATTAAAAACGCAGAGAACATTATTAATAGTCTGTTGAAAAGGCGATTCAGCAAATACAATAAAATAATTTATTTCGACCGAAGGTAGGATATATATTCCACAGCTTTTGAGCAGGGGTCACATTAGAGTCAATCTTCTTGATGACTTCCTTCAAGGCAGATATATCTTCCCTATTTATTCCCTAAATTGCTTATTACCCACATACTTGGGCTCCAATAAATACACACTTTCCATTCATTTCAATTCTATTACTCCATTATCAATGAACTTTATCCACATTTCTACTCGTGGGTAGAGGAGCGATCTCATTCTTATTTGTTCATTTAAATTAGATGACAGATCATAAAAGTTGTTAAAAATTAAAAAAAAATCTTCTATTAAATTGACTAAATTATTAGAAATTATATTCAATTAAAGAAATTAACTTAAATGAATAGTGGTCAGTTTAATATAATATATTCTCTCTTGGAATAAAAACGCTATTGCGCAGGTCTGCAGCGTCCTGCTGAAGTTCCTGAAAACTCCAAATCTGTCTGCTCGATTATAGGAATCCGATCATCATACAAAGTTGGCGCTTGCAAAATTATGCCAGCAGTACCCGCCAAAACAGCTAATGTAAATATCCATAGAAAGAGTCTATCCAACACCATTGCGACATATTTCCAATCTTCTTTTACCTTAAAAAAAATAACGATTGGAAATAGAACTACGTGGTATTACAAATTTATTACTTACTTTTGTTGAATCCTCCTGCATTTTCGTATGCTCTGCTATAAATCGTACACAAAAACAGCTACGATGAACGCGTGGTGGGCATTTTGAATGAGAAAAGGCTGGGTTGCACAATATTGGACTTTTTATTCCAGAATTTCCCATATCTAAATCAGGGACAGCTGTCAAATCATCTGAGCTAGAATGAGTAAGTTGTGGCAGCGGTCCATGAACTTGACAACTTCCTCCAAAAGGTCCCGTACTTGTTAAGCTACAGTATACAGAAAAATATAATATTTTTAATTCATCATCAAGGAATATTAAATTTATATTATTAAGTAAAACATAATCAAACTAGTGCTTGCAGAATTCAAATAAGATATTTGTAGTTTTTTTTTTTAATAGGAATAAAAAATGATGTATCGATTTCTCCAAAACTTTTCTAAAAAGTATAAAGTGTATGTGTGCATGCATTGTAAATATTGTTTTTTAATATTTCGAGGGGTGGCGTTTAAAGAACTCTGAGCTTTAAGTTTTCGGTGTCTTTTTATACTTTGATGCCGAAGGTATAATTTTGTTTTGTGTCTTAGTCATGCTGTCGTTTATCTGTCCGTATGTATGAATGCAACTTTTTTCGACACCCTTAGATATAGAGACTTGATAAGTGGAACATATACTGGTGTGTGCCTGCGTTAGACTAAGTGTAAAAATTTGAGTGCTACGTCCACTAGGGCGTTAGGAAATCGATAATCGCTATTCGCAAATCGATAAAGCACATATCTCCCACAATTTTAAGCCTACAGTCACCAAATTTGGTTGGTAGGTTGTTGGCGATGTCCTTCAAGAATCGGCATACGCCCACCTCTGCTGCTCCACGCCCCAGAAAATTTAAAATGGCTATAGTTTTTAGTCCTCAAATTTGATAGGTATATTACTGTTAGCCGTCTCTAAGAACCGATAAAAAAGATAATAGCCAACCCCAGACCTGCTCCCATAATCGCCAAAGCCGATATTTAGGAAAGTGTAAATCGTTAAATCCGCAAATCTCCCACAATTTTAAAGAAATCAAACTTGGAAGACAACTTGCTGGTAACCTCCTCCAAAGATCGGCATACAAATTCAGACCGCCAGGAACTTCGGCTCTAGATATCTGAAATGCGCATATCTTACACAATTTGTAAGCTAGAGTCACCAAATTTTAAATGGTAACTCGCCCAAGAGATCGATGAAAAATTGGATGGCCACACTTAATCCGCCTCCCTAAACCGATACACCTGTTAGTGTAAATCGATAAGACCATATATGTCACACAATTTGAAAGCTAGAGTCACCTACTCTGAAAGGTATATTGCTAGTAACACCCTTTAAAAATTCGGAAAACAAATTTTGGGCCACGCCCACCCCACAAAAACGATTAAAGCTTATATCTTCCGCAATTTAAGAGCTCAAGTTACCAAACTTGGAAGGTAGATTGCTAAGATCGATCTTAAAATATTTTTTTGGCCGCCCCACTCCCACCTCCAAGATTCCCATATTTCTCACGCAAATTAATAACTACAGTTATCAAACTTGGAAGGAAGATTACTAAGAACTTTCTCTAATAATTTGTTAGCCCACGCCCATTTTCGCCGCCAAAATTTTTATAACTCCATATCTCCGTAATTTAAGAGCTACAGTTACCAAACTTGGAAGGAACGTTACTAGCACATATGTACAGCAATTTGAAAGGTAAACTTGGACAGCGTTCCTTGGCTACACCCACCCTGTTCTTTGTTACTTGTTATCCGCTGTCGTTGAAGCCCGATTGCAACGTTCTCTCTTGTTTAATATATGTAGATATGTTATTTTAAAAAGAATTAACATAAATCAAATGTAAAAGAAATACTGCCTAAAGTATTTGAAAACAAAGATGTGGTATAAGAATCTAAATGGGTTGAATAACAACGGTCCCTTGTTTGGACTTCAACTACTAAGCAGACAATACATAGATGCATCAAAAGGACTAAGACCTGCATTAGGTTTTTTCTGTGACCGTGGGCCATATTCTGCTTCGGTCTTAGTGACTTCAACACAACAATAGCGTAAGACAAAAGTAACGACGCGGGCGTAGAGAGCAACAATGCAACTTCATAAGTAACGTGCAGTTTGTTTTAACAATAATGCGATTTAAAGAACTGCGAAAATCGCGAATTAAACAGAATTAGAACGATAAAAATAAAGAATTACAAGGCGCAAGAAAAAACACTTCCGTTCCGAATGCGAACTAAGTAATATTACTAAATTTTAATGAATACGAAAACAATATCAGAAAGTTACACTTTAATTTACCTTTGTGTTGTCAATTCTTCCTTAGAGGCTGTGTTGCTATACCCCGCGGTAACTAGGCGATCAATATTAGTCGAAGAGTAGTATGGATAGAAACAGGCGTGAGCGTCCTTCAAAAGCAATTTGCTGAAAAAACGAAACACCAGAGCTTATCAATTAACAGTTTTATGTATATTTAGAATGCATAAAATTATGGACCGAGTGCTGACTATCTGGAATCGAATGAAGATCCGGCCTGGCGGATGCTGACACTCAGATCCAACGAATGCAGTTTGACTCCGAGTCCGCCTTTGTTTAGGTCAAGGCAGCTATCGTTGCCACCTGTGGACCAGCATAGGTATCCATGCTGTCAAAAGGTGCATGAGGCAACAGATTCTCGTGGGGCACCATTAAGACCATAAGGGTGCATGAGGAGAACATGCTCGAGAAGCGTTGGCCAACTTGTTCAGGGAACCACAGACACGGGGATCAACCTGGCCCTCATCACAGCGCCATGGTTGATCGGTGGGCAAGTTGGTTTATTAGATTGTGATTCATAAATATGAATCATCCACTCATGCCTGTGAATTCCCCCGAATCAACATTATTTACAATTTTATTTAAGTCCGTTTTGCTCGCTTAACTGATATGTACAGAGACTTGACAATATTTGTAACCAATTACAATTGAAAAGTAATAGTAGTTATCTTCTTTGGGCGTCGTTTGAGTCTAGTGATAGTGTCGTAACTGCTGGAGAAGAAGAATATTTTTCGTCCATTGCAGTCAAATTAACTTCAGGGTGTGAAATCAAATTATTGAAGTAATATTCTTATCCTGTGATGCGCACAGCTCCATTCTCCATGGTATAAAAATAACGGCGATTTAAGTGGATTTTCTCCAGCAATGATGAACAACGTTGACTACATGCGACACGGAAGGAAAAGGAATATAGGTCCCGTTCCGGTTTTAAAGGCATCGTCTATTGAGTTGCAAAGTGTTGCACCCAGCTCCAAAAGTAGATTGTCTGAGTTTGCTGGTGGGCTTTCAGCTATTGGTCTTTATCTCGTTAATCAGGATGATGTCGATGTTAAGCTTGACGCAGTTCCCTATTTCCATAAATTTTGCTTAAGGGACACGAATGTCGTCACACTCGCCAGTTGAGAATTGTTGCAAGCTCTCACCTCCCACACAAAATTCACATTTGCTCCGGTTGCACGATTATTCCTACAATCTAGTTGATATTTCATCCGTAGTCCCCTCTTCATTGTGTCCCGATAGCTATTACAAATAAGGTTGGTACGGACTGAGCACTACCCCGGATTACGAAACGCTATCTTACAGTACGACACATATTCGGCTTTTAAATCAGAAAATAAGTTGCAAATTCAATAAGATTTGCCATATTGCATACGTACAAGGCGTAAACTCAGCATTGACCGGTGTCATCACTTCATGCAGCTGTTGCTGTAAACGTGAACATGTTCGTGATTCTTAGCGAACATGACGCGGTGCTAAGAATTTTTATCCATGTACTAAGATCGCAGTATCTTCGATTCTTTTACAAATAAAGATCTGTTTAAAAAAATCACAGAAATGTGAACACATCCAAATATTAAAGGAATTTTGTTCCAAATTTTTCAACATGCGGTCTTGTATATGTTAGATATTTCCATCTCTAGAACGCTTTTACATGTTATTGATGTGACAGTACCGTGAATACCATTGTTGCTACTCACTATAAATTTTTGCAAAATTCTTCGTCCCCTCTTAAAGCAAAGTATCGAATCAATACATGTAGATGGCTTACATCTGAAGTTGAAGTCACTGATTTTCAACAACTGATTTGGATTGAACAAGGCCAATAGGTTTATTCAATTGTGTTTGTGCTATTGAACCATCGAATACACAGTTTACAATTATTACAATTACTTTGAGTTGAGACCGACATAGAGGACTTCCTCTTGTATTGCAAATATGTGAACAGCTGTATTATAAATTAAGTTGCAATAAGAATTCATATTCATGATGCTGTTTTTTTCAATTTTTTGGCCAAAATTGAAGCAGCATATAAAAAATAGTCTTCATTCCTTTTTAATCGATATAAATGCGTCCTGACTCATTGCGTGACATGATATGATAAAATACTATTTGTATATTGGACGCAAGCCAACGCGAGTACTTTCTCTTGAATCAGACATTCAGAAATTCGATTAAATTTTGGTAAATTTGTCTTAATAAAAGCAATCAATTTATTGACCTTTGCGAGATCTTATTTTATTAATCAGAAATATTAGTTTTAATTTTGGAAACCTCAATCAAAATATTACTGAGTGTGGTTGCAGATTGCTGTGGCGTTGAATGCGCATCTTTTTTAATAACTTACAAACTGCACATTGTTAATAGTTTCCTATTTATAACTACTGTAGTGGCTGACAGCGGGTAATTTGTAATTTATATGCACAAAGTTCAAACGTATTTTAGGATTATATAAAGTGTATGTTATGTTTAATTCTTTAGAACAGGTATATGAAAACATCAAAAGATTTTAATATTTTTAAATTAGCTTACCTTGTTTCAAAGTTATATGTTGGTCGCTTTATAAAGAGGAATTTTGGCAAAAAGTTAATAAAAAGACGCTTTACCCACGGTGCCATTCGGTGTGTTTGTGGAGATCGAAAATGGACGTTCAATACGACAACTGTTACGCAAATGCTAAATGAACAAAAACATTTTAGTGGTGCGAGGTGATATTTTAAGACATAAAACTTACCTTATCGAAACCAATATCATGGCAAATATCAGGTATTTACCCAGCAACGGTACGACCAACGATGTTGGCGGAATAATTTCGACGACCAGAAGAAAGAACACATGAAGACTAATAAGAATTGATATTGATAGAGTAACCTGCAATTAAATTCATGTTTTTTATTTTAAGTTACTGAAAAATAGTAAAAATAGATTTGGAAAATTCATTGGAACGATAAGGACAACTTATCTATTTGTTTGTGCGTTTGACTTATAAAGTGTTCAAATTAGTCAACAATAAATTAAAAACATTTAAGATATACTTCAACTAGTTTTTTATTAAAGACTTCTTCATCCAGAATGCCCTGCCGTTTCCTTCTTGCTCATCTTACTAATATTAAATAATGGGTTTCTCTCTGCTGAGCATTTTTCAGCTGCTAAAAATGTTTCCATTTTAATTTTATTTCAAATTTATTATGCACAGAATCTATTTGTATCCTTTAAATTAATTTGTATTGTATTGAATCATTTGCGATTTCAAATTAACCTCTTAATTGATGGATAACATATGGATAACAGAGTTGGGCACCACAACTTTAGTAAGAATAAGAAGACGAAGTCATTTAGCGCCAACTAAATAACCTAGAAGTAAACGAAGTGTGAATGAAGTATGTGGACTCTTTCTCACTCTCTGATGCATTGCATAACATGAAAAATGGCGGGTACTGTGTAGCGAGCAAAAAATCGAGTGCTGCGTATGAGTTGGCCATGGCCACTTAAAAACTCATTGCGCGAGAAGTTTGCGAGCTTCAAGCAAACAGGGGATGGACTTCCATCACCACTTGTAATACATCACCAAAGATCTGACCATGCCAATAGAAAGCAAGCTCCGAACAACTAGAGAAGCTGATCCGAGCTATCACTGGAATGTGGTTGATTTGGTATTCATACAATCAGACTGTCCATCCCCTACAGCGACATGTGCAGAAGCAACCCGACCAAGGAATAGAGTAATCGATTCATCATTTCCTTTATCATAGTCCGGTTTTCAGTAGAGGAAGTCAACAATTTCTAAGGTCGCCTGTCTTCTCCGACATATTCGACTTCTCCGATATAAAAACAAAGCAACTGTCGGTCATCAAAGCCACAAGATGGAACACAGTGCCTGCCGGTTAGTTTTCAAAGGGACTGTATTATAGAGCGAAATAGGTGGAAATCGAACATGCAGTAACACAAAGAGCAATTTATGGCCCAAGTGGTAGGGGAAGGAATGTGTCAGGCCTCTCATATTCGAACGCGACATAGACTGCTTGCCGCTGGAAGGATGGTTGAAACTGGAGCTCGGAAGGTATCCAGCTTACTACAGTATTTTTATTCCTAGGTCGTATACCTGACTACAAACAAAAATAGTAATTGTTCATAAGGCGAGACAGCCTTCACAGAGCTCAAAAAGGCCTTTTTTGTTTTTCGTGTCTACGAGCTCGCCGGTTTCTATAATCGGTATCACAATTGATACCACTTGCAGATAAATTTAATTTGATGTGATCGATAACTCCTCCCGTTTCGCGAATATCGACCAAATCGATTACTGAAACCAATAAAATAAATGTAGCTTTCAGATAAGTGAAAACGTCAGGATATCTCAAAGTCGAGCTATGTCGACTAGAGTCATCTAACTCATTTTAATGAAGGTCTGTAGTTTATCTATATTAATTAAATTAATAAATAATAAAAGAGAATACACTCTTGAAATATGTATAACAACCACTTTCCTTCAGGTAGACAGAATTTTGTGAGTTGAATAACTTATGGGAAAATATTCGGACTGCAAAGTGCTAATGTAAATAAGATGTACGTACCTTTTCCCCACTGTCCGAAGGCAAGTAGAAAGTAAGAACTGTTAAAAATGAGATGCCCATGCAAGGTATAATTATGTTGACTGTGTAAAAAAGTGTTTTTCTTCGCATGGTTATATTGAATGTTATATCCAGGTAAGGCTCATCACAACATGTATAAAATTTTTCATTCCTGCAAAAAAAAAAAAATATTATTTTATTCTTAAAATATGTACACATATTATTTAACTTATTTTGATCGCATGTTTTGTCATTGCGTTTAAGAAACTAATCTAACGATCTCGAATCGAGATCTTCGCTGCTGGTATTATTAGAACAAGTACCAATTTGAAAACGGGTAGGAAGGTAATCGCAAGAAAATCAAACAATCCCCCACTTAACTTTTTTTTTCAACTTTTATCCAGGGGATCTTTGTGAACGAAATTCCCAAAATGAATGCATTAAAATAGTATAAATATTTGAATGTATTTTTGAATCTATCAAGGGTCCAATTTTTTCCGCCCATTGTGTAGGTGTTCTATAACAAATAAAAGACGTACCGGTGTTAAAGTGTGCTTGAAGACAATAACAATAACTCTTTCGCAAATGCAATGTATCGGAAATATGTTACGTGTCGGTTTGTCCTAACGGGGCAGCTCCGGCCAGCCAGTACTCCATTAGGGGTGGGTCTACCCATGCCCGTCGATCGTACCATAACAAAACACTAAACAAATCTACACATCACTATTAAACAGCTGATTTAACGGACAGTGGTAACAATTCTGTAAAACCAACAAAAATACGTTAACTTCGACGTCCAACGGTGGCCTCGCTGTTATAGCCGTAGCGCTTCCGCCCTTCCTGTGGGGCGAAATCATATAGTTAAGCCCCACCCTTTTAGTATCAAATATCACATCTTATCCCAAGAACATTTTTGGTCCCCTCCCCTCCATTTTACGAAACTTAAGGCGTCATTTTAACTGACTTCGTATATTTAATGTTCGTATCTTACGGCTAACATTTTATGCTCAGACTTATTAGTATATATAGTTATTACCCTAAATTTAATTTAAACGAACGAGACCTGACAAATCTTTATTCGACCATCTACGCCTTCACAATTGCCGTCTTTTGCGCGGTCTTGTTTTGGGGCTTAAAGTCTTTTTACATAACCTACATACATAACCTATATATACAAAAATTAGATTATTTTATATATGTATATATCTTCTTTTTTTTTCAACACGAAGGTGAGTTTTCAGATCATTGGGGGACACCCTTAAGTACCCTACGGAGCTCCCCGGGATAAATCCAAATAATCAACTAGCATTTGCCACGTAGAAAAGCAACATAGAGATGTCTCGGTGACGATTAAACCTTAAAGCCGGAATAAGTTATTTGCCCAGCCCAAATAATTGCTTATAACAATTAATAATTAAGATAACTTAATCGATGGTGGGCCTCAAGGTAATAAATTTTAGCCGTATTGATAAACTAATAATTAAATAGATTACAACTGTTGGAAATAACTGTATTTGGCTATGTACGCCGCAGCTTGTCTTGCATTCCCGTCTTGTAGTCTTAATCTGTTGTTGCCTGCGAGCAACGGTTATTGTCAGTTCCTTATGATCAAGACCTTCTTCGATGGTATGTTTAAGCTACTTCCATGAAGTCAGTGTCAGTCGCTTTTGGTCGCTTGAATCGCGTAGAATAAGTCCCATGAAGCGGACATATATTCTGTATTAGATACAAAGCTCTGAATAAATATAAACCTCAAGTTATAATAACAACAAACAAACAAATATAAATACATAAACTATAATCTACAAATATAGCCAACAAAAAGTTACGCATCACTGTCGACGGCTGTGCATCACTGGTGTAACACGGATCAGCTGTGCGAGAGGTGCGCAGGCCTAAGCACTATTGGCAGATACCAGTTTCCTTCCGCCGTAATTTTATTGGATCGGACTCACGATTTTGTTGGATGGTTCCGGTCCCTTTCTCCCCTCGTCCTGCTCTTCCTCGTCGCCGTTGGTTCCGGATGGCGGCCTGCTCCTGGTAGCCTTCTCCAGGTGTGGATTTCACTTTAATCGGTTTATGTTTACATTTAGATTTTTAGAGTCTTTGTCGGCGGTTTTTGATTGTGGCTTGTCGCCGGGGCAGATTTTATTAAACTTGGCGGGTGAGCATTTCGGCGTTTTTACTTAAATATTTAATCTTTTGCCGCCTATTGGTTTTATGCACTTTGCGGGTTCTTATTTTCGGTCTATAAATTCTTCTTTATTATTTGAATTCGTTGCCGTCAGTGGGTTTTATCAAATATTGTATGTTTGTATTTTCGTCTTTAAATCTTTCTTTATCACTTGAATTTGTTGCCGTCGGTGGATTTTATTAAATATTGTATGTTTGTATTTTCGGTTTTTAATTCAAATTTAGTCTCGATGTTTCTCTCCTTTTTTTTACTTTTTTTTTCATCCAAAAAAAAAGAAGAATTTTGACTCCCGCACTTTACGCTCCTTCGTACTCCTTTCTTCTCGCCGCTGACTTTCAACTGTCCTCCAAAACATCAGATCATTGGCCTTTTTATTCCATCTTTTGCCGCTCGGATAACATGCTACCCTCTCCCTATCTTCAGCGCGCGAACTCCCTCTCTCTTTCCAAAAAAAAATTCTCTTAAAAAAATCTCTTAAAATTCAAATCTGTGGGTTACCACCAGTTTGCCTGTTGGCAGCTACAACTATCGATATCGCACCGCCCGCCGCAACAAATATGAACATTGAATTAATAAACTGTCGAAATATTACAGCTGATTTTTATACTTTGATACCGAAGGTATCATTTTGTGCAATGTCCGTCACGCTGTCTGCCCGTCTGTATGAACGCAACGTTTTTCGACACCCTTAGATATAAAGACTTGAAACTTGGAACACATACTGGCCTGTGTCTGCGTCAGACAAATTGTAAAAATTGGAGTGTCTCTAAGAAACGATAAAAAACTCTATGGCCACTCTGCCTCCTTAAACCGATACACCTGTTAGTGTAAATCGATAAGAACATGTGTATATCGCACACAATTTGAAAGCTAACCTCACCAAATTTAAAAGCTTAATTGCTAGTAACATCCTTAAAAAATCAGTAGAAATTTTGAACTACAACCACTCCTGCACAAAACGATAAAGCCCAATATCTTCCGCAATTCAATGGCTACAGTTACTAAACTTTGAAGGTCGACTACTAAGAACGTTCCCAAAAAAAGAATTTCGGCACGCCCACTCCCACCTCTAAAATTCGAAAAAAAAACCTATATCCTATTATTATTACCAAACTTGGAAGAAGATTACTAAGAACCTTCTCAAAGAATTTTTTTCAGCTACGCCCAATACCACCACCAAAATCCACAAAGAAAATCAAAAGCCTATATCTACCGCCATTCGAAAGGCACACTTGAACGGTATTTCTTGGCTACACCCACCCTGTCCTTTGCTATTTATTATCCGCTCGTATTACTTATGGTATCAAAGTATTTCGCAGTCAACTACTACCGACTTCAACGTTGGGAAATAGAGGAAATTCAGGATTTCTCTATAATGACAGAGTGGTATTGTAAACGTGATCAGGAAATCTTTAAACTGATCTTTGTTGCGTCCAATCTATCCGCTGGGCCTGATAGTCAGTTTTATACACTTATAGAGGGTATTATAATTTTTTTATGAAATGTGTAACACATTCAAATTCGGATTCGATTCGTGTGTTTATTTTTGTCTAAGTGCGAGAAGCTTAATTGCAACACAGTCACTGATGGAAAGTCAGATGGATGGACATAAAAGTCAGCAGAGTCAGATAACAGAAAATAAATGTTTTTGGAGTGACTTGTGTGTGAACTAAGATCAATGTGTTCATTCCGAATGAGATATATACGGATAAGCAGACAGGTAGTAACAAGAGACTCATAGATACGCAGCTTGATTCTGATGCTTATTACGAATAATTGATCAGTATATATGTTTAACTATAATTTTGTGAAAGTAACTTACCGAACAGCCGGCACCTCAAGAATATCCCATTCGACAGACATGTAGAACTCAGATAAATCAACGCCAACGTCAACAATATTGCTTCCTTGTTGCTCGTCCATGTGCCTCAAGTCGACCTAATAAAGGTAAACAAATTTTTGGTACATGTGTATATAACACATTATAATATAGTTATTAGTATTTATGAAGGTATATGTATTTTTGATGTACATACATATAGGCATAGTACTATTAAATAATAAGCTGACCAATAAAAAATACAAAGGTTTGTATGGGTTTGAAAAAATTGATAACACTAATTTTTCTAAATGTTGTATGTCGTCGTGAACCAATATATTTCATGCTCCTAGTATAAACTCAAATTAATCTTTACATCCATTTTTTTTTTCTTTTGTCAATTAAAATAATTTAACTACTGCTGGCAATGTCAATTAAAATGCATTCATTAATACTTTATCATGCCAATTATTACAGATTGTAAGAAATCATATATATTTGTTATATATAAATTAAATTACTAATTTTATGTAACAAAATATATGTTCGTAATAAATATAATTTTAATTTAACTCATTTGATGAAATTAAGAAAATAATTTATAGCATGCAATATAACTGCATGCACACGATATAATTCAAAATTATGAAATCGAATGTGTAATTCCGTTGTCCCTTAATGTACTTTCAAGTTCTTGTGTACATATTATTGATAATAAACCTTTATTTAAAAACATTTTTCTTGAAAAATTTCCGAACTCTCAAAATAGTAATCGTAGGTATTAGGTAATTATTTATTATCGGTACCGTCTTTTTACAAAGCGACTGCAGCTTTTCAAATAAAAAGTCGCATGTCTGATCAATCAATAATTTAATTTTAAAGTCTCTCATATACTTCGATTTATTTATGTAAATTCTTTCCAGAATTTTGGCGCACTCAATCAATTGCAACCGACAATCTTGGTCAATCTGGAATACACAAGCGTATCCAGAACCTCAGCAAGAGAATCTTTCAAAATCTTAAAGCAAATATTATCCTTATAAAGTCGGATAAGCTTCTTATTATTATATTTTTAAGCGGCCCTTGCACGATGTAATTATTGTATGTTTTCGAGTGCAACTTTTATCACGCATCGTATAGATACGAGTTCGTTTTGTGCAACTACTGTATATTTGGAAACGCTTCTAGTTGGTGCATGAACAATGAAACATTTGATAAAGTGCTGCAGAGTGTAGCAACAAATTATCAATTAATAATAACCGGAAAGTAACATAAAATTGAAGATGGATTAAAAGTTATTTGTAAGAGGTCTTAAATTAATGAAAGTTCGTAACATTACACAAATTTTACAATCTTCAGTATAAGAAAATCATATGGTATAACTGTGGAATTATTCACAAGTGTAGGCATTTTGAACATATAATTGAGCTGAAAAGGCTTTGCACATTTTAGTCCATATATAACCTTGATACCAAACACACACTATGTAAAAGAATGCTTGTTTTCATACAACGAATTTTTGATTAAGAAAACCAGGAGCTCTTCTAAAGCTGTAAACAAAATTTAATAAAAACGCGCTCTTGCAAACTTACACAACTACACATTTACACAACATAGCGAATAACTAAGGAGTTTACCTTAAAGCTGAATGCCATTAACGAAATAAAAAAGTGATATTCAAATAGTGTGTTTTTTAAGTTTTTTCCTAACTGAATAGTAGTGCTCTAGATGTGACAGAATGAGAGTTAAATGAACAAATTTGTCACACCCCAATTATATGTATATATATAATTTTAACTTTTCAGAGCATTGGTTTTAATCAGAAGTTTCTCATTTATTCACTAATTTTTTATTGTCCCAGCCGCATTTATATCTTTTAAACCGTTTTTCCAGATAGATTTTCTTTTTATCTTCTGAAATTAAGTTATCCGGATAAGTTGACATGCACGAAAATTCTTAATTTTATTGTGTCTTCTTGTTTTTGTTCTTTATTATATTGAAATAGTATTTTTAATAGCTGCAGAGTACATTTTTACCGAAAGTAGAAGAGTATATTGGTGTTCTTCAATATCCGTTTCTCCGAGCTGCAGACTTATACTTTGCAAAAATATTCTTGATCAAGTCCAGTATTAACATTAGGGTGCAATGCCCATTAGCAGTTGGCAAATCGATAGCTCCTCAAAATACCGTGAAGTATAATTCATAATTTCTGTAATTTTAAATGTAGAGCCACTAAACTTGAAATTGCTCGTAACCTCCTGAAAAAAATCGGCTTGACAAATCTAAAATTTTAATTTTAGAAAAATGTAGACTACAATTAAAAAAAATACCCTCGGTTTTTAGGAAGACACAATTTTCCGTTTTATAAAAGGCGATATTCTAAAATTCAGGGTGATTTTTAGCCTTAAAACTAGTTTGCATAGAAACAGACACACAAGTATGACGGGAATAGCGAAGCCCATTGATGATCGCTCTTTATTTTGTCGAAGTCGTCTCTTTCACTTCACGAGGGCATACAAACATTAAATAGTTTTTACTTTTTAGCAGGCAATTTATATTAATAATTTAATAGTTATTTACACCATGTTATTATTAAGCCATCAAATGCTTCGATTCCGAAAAATAGTTATTTAAAACAATTCGTTTGGAATCTAAACATACTAAATGTAAAAATTAAATAAATGTAGATTTATATTAACTTAAAGTCAATTTATATTTTGCCCATAACACCCTCCTTAATATGATGTTAAATCACATACAATATTTTATAAATAATAAAATAAAATGTAAAAAATAAATGAATATTAGCGCTTAATAATAAAAAATTAATTTTTCCTTGCCAAATGAGGTCAATAATATTACATGATATTAAAGCGACATAATGAGGAAACAATTCGATATTTTTCTGTCTGTATCTCAATCAACCCGATTTTACTAGATACATTATTGGACTAAGCAATTCAGCTACAATAACTTCATCCAACAAAATATTACTATTTGAAAAAAGCTTACAGTTTTGAAAACTTAATTTGATGTTCTATAAGCCATATTTGATCAGTGTTTAATATACTGAATAATCGTAAGGACACAGTACATGATTGAACTGTTAAAAATTCCAAAGAAAGAATACATTTTAATATTTAGGAAATAGGAGAATTTTAGAGCAAAATATATTATTACTAGTAACGTCCTCCGAAAATTGGTAAAAATAATAATAATGCCTACATCATTTTAGAGATTACCAAATTTGAAAGATAGAGTTCTAAAAATTTCTAGCGCTGACTACCCAAAACTGTCTCTACCCTCCCACCAAAAAACTCTTTTTCACATATTCTTAGTAGGATTTTTATTAGTATCAGTTCCAAGCAACTTTCTCACAAGTTTATTTTGCTTCTGCACGCAAAAGACTGTGCCTTCATGGGTAGATGATTTGTAGCAATTGACCACGACAACGATCTGAACGCTAAAATATTACGCATGTAACACTAATTAATTGATTGCGTGTATGATATATACAAAATTTAAAAGAAATATATGATCAATATGTCCAAAATTAGAGGCGTGAATACAATGCAACTTCAGACTTTTGATTTTGACACTTCTATGTTCAAATTCTAATTAATAACCGTTAGGAGAATCCATTTAATACAACAAAACACATAAAGACAGTATAGAAATTCTCCAAATATATACTGACATAAATAACATTCCTTAATCAATATAAGAGCAGGCAATCACACAAACTTCAAAGCATTAACAGAACATTCATAAATTAAATCCATTCCAAAATTATAAATATCATGCATTTTATCTATCATTCTGATATATTACATGCATTCAATTTTATATCCTACCGCATAAAGAATATTTACAAACGTACGACTTGATTATCGATACCAATATTTTGTATGGACATACACATTTAGGGGTACCACTTATATATGTAAGTAAGTTGATTTTTATGATTTATTACTGTGGATGACAATCCACGCCAGTAACGAAGGTTCAAGAAGGATACTAGCAATATATACATGAAGAAATGAAAATTGTCTCCAATAGTCCGATCAAATCGATTTACATAGTGATCGGATGGTATGTTTTTTTACAGTAAAAATGTACATACTCGGACTTTTGGTAATTTACAAGAGATGTAGATATGTAATATGTGTATAAGTAATGTAACCGCTAGCTGAGCAGGATACGCAAAGCCCGTTACAAATAACACCCCCTCTATTTCCAAAATACAGAAACATTTAACTGTCTTATATATAATTACAAAATTATTTTGAAAAGCTGATGAGCCCGTATTTTAAGAATCCATACTTGTAACCACATATATTACATCATACAGATCAGATTTTTCATAAGTATTTTTCAATTATGTAGTTGCCAACCTTCTTAATAAATGGACTTATAAGTTTAATGGCCACAATCAAACCGGCTATTTTATCTATACCCTCCGCAATTGAATATTGTGAGAATATCCACAGTTTCACAGCTTGAGTCTCCAAATTTGTAAAGTAAGAAATATTCGCGCCCTCACAAATTCCACTGGCCGTTAACTCCCACAATATTATAGGTAGGGTCCCTAAATTTAATGGGTACTGGGTACTGATAGCAAAATTTCATTTTAACAATGACAACTATATATTTAATTTAATATAATTACTTTTGTCCTTATTTCTTTCTTAAAGCTATCGGCGGCGTATTACGATAAGAATAGGACAGGATTTTACGATGTCGATATACATATATTTTTTTTTTTCTGTGCAAATCGATTAAACATCATAACTTCCATAATTTTTAAAGTAGAGTCACCATAAACTGAAAATAAACAAACATATGATGATATTTTAACCTATCATTAATATCATGCGGCGCCCCATTCCGAAAAATGCAGATTTTTAAACGCAAATTTGAAGAAGATAAACATTAAATAAGTGAAAACATTGCAGTTGGTCTTAAGCGACTGCGGAATATTCTAATACCAGTATTAATAATGCACTTCTTATTGGTGATTCAATCTGAAAAATTACGACAGATGTATGCTTTTTGACCAACATACACGCCAAGTCGAAATAGCCATGTTCTCCGTTTTGTCTGTGCGTCCGTTGAAAGC